GGACGGAGGGACACGGGGAGCGTTGGGGCCCATGTCCTTGGGAAAGGAGACATGGGCATGGGAAGTGCTGGAGCACAGGGACTCTGGGAACGCTGAGGTGAGGACGCACAGGGCAATGGTCCCGGGACATGGTGACCCCTGGGGTACTGGTGCTGGAGTGTGGGAGCATGTGGGGAAGCGAGGCTCAGCCCCCAGGCACAGGGATATGTGGGGTCCCACACCAGGTAGAGGATGCAGAGCCCTTGGGTTGGCAGGGCCCTGCCATGGGGACACAGGCACAGAGATGAGCAGTGCTTTTCAGTAGGAGTCCATCAAGAACCAGGGGAGTCCCCAGCCAGGCCTTGTCCCTCCTGTCCCCCGGTCCCTCTGTCCCTCTCCCATGCCTCCCCATCCCTTTCATCTCTCACTTCTCTTTCCATCCTGCTTTCTCTGCCTGTGGTTCCCGCAGAGCTTGTGGCTCTCCCCACTGTCCCTTTCGTCCCCTTCTTGCTCTTTCCCCGACATTTTTGGGTCAGCTGCACATGTCCTTGCAGCCAATGTGCAAGGTAGGACTGGGGCTGTGTCACTGGCTCTGTTATTCCCCTCCACGGCCCCTCTGCTGCAGGAGGGAGCTGGGAAAATGAACTAGGGGCCACCCAGCGCTCACTTTGATTGCAGGAAGGGGACAGCAGAGTGGGACAACGCAGCATGGCTTGTCAGCCAGACCAAGGTCCTGGCAGGGCTGGGCAGGCAGGGTGGCCTGTCCCCAGGCATGCTGCTGAAGATGTCACCAGGCTGGAACCCAGCTATCTCCTTCCTGCCCCTCACATGGGACATGTACAACTCCACTGAGATTCATAACTGTCTTTCAACGGCTGCCTTACGCCTGCTTCCCCCTCCCCACAGCATGTCACTGCAGGCAGGCGGCTGGAAATCACCCTGGCCTCAAAGATGTCGCCTGTGTGCTCGTCGGTGGTGGCAGCTGACGGTCATCTGGAGCTCCCTGCCTCGTCTCACCATGAGGATGTGGTCACAGGCACGACACGGAGCGAAAGAGGAAGGTTGCAGCAGGGATAGCACTGTCACCCGTCCTGCCACGGTGACGCACAGAGGGGCCAGCCCTGCCTGTGGTGCTTCTGCAGACCCAGCTTGTGCAGAGTCCACCCTGCAGAGATGTCGTGGCTTATGCCATCGCCTGGCTCTGCTGCCGCCTGTGTCACCCTCCTGCTTAGCTGTGCCTGCTTTGGCTCGGCCGTCCAAGCCTCCCCAAGTAAGTGCCTTGGTGGGTCTAGAGGGTGATGGGGCAGTCCAGGGACACCCCAACATCATGTCCTGTCATACTTGGAGGGGATATCTGGGTGTCACAGTGAAAGCTCAGGGCACTGCTCTGCTGCCTTCCCTGGGTGTCCATGTTCAAAACCTAAGTGAAGACCTGAAACCTGGCCATCCCTTCTCCTTTTGGCAGCAATAATCAGGTTACTGCTCTAGTGCAGTGCCCTGGATGCAGAGAGGTGGCAGAAGTTGTGAGAAACCTGTTGGATGTAGCCAGGGTCCCATGGGGACCACCTGAATGGATCCTTTGAGCTGGGGGGGCGACAAGCAAAGCCTGGCTGTTCTTTGAGCCAGCCAGAAAAGGGATTTGATCAGGAGTTGTCTGTCTGGTGTCCCGGGACCTTCCTGTTCTTCACTTTTGTTCTGAGCATGCAGCAAAAAGCCTCTGACTGCAGGAAGATAGGGAGGAAGCCTCTGAGTTGGGGGCCTGGCCAGGAGGTGGAGGCAGCAGCCCCTAAGGGACAACATCTCCCATGCTGGCATGGGTGGCCATATCCCAACCTTGTCCCTGTGGCTTTCCTGTCTGCCCTTTTGATTGCGTTGGGTTGCAGGGGACCCATTGTGCTTGGTAGGAAAAGGGACATCGGCAGAGCTGCATCCCAGGGCTGGCACAGTCAGGGGCTCCCATGTCTGGAGCCATGGGGCAGGGCAATGCCTGGTCCTGCAGTTACTGGTGACAGCTCCTGTGTAGTCCCAAGTGGGAAGGGGCAGTGGGAGCTGAGCGTGATGCCTTGTGTCCTCCACAGTGCGTGGTAAAGGGCGAGTCTTGATCCCCCTCACTGCCCAAGAAGAAACTGTGTGTCCCAGCGCTTCCGTGGAAGGTTTCCTCAACAGCACCCTCACCACCCGCCTCCTGCCTGCCCTCTACTCTGTGATCCTGCTCGTGGGGCTGCCAGCCAACGCTCTGGCCTGCTGGGTCCTCGTGACCAACTTCAGGAGATGTTCCAGCACCCTCTTCCTGCTCAACCTGGCAAGTGCCGACCTGCTCTTTGCCCTCCTGCTGCCCTTCAAGATCTCCTACCACCTCCTGGGCAATCACTGGCTCTTTGGGGACTACCTGTGCCGCACTATGATGGCCTTCTTCTATGGGAACATGTACAGCTCCATCCTCTTCCTCACCTGCATTGGCCTGGAGCGCTACATCTCTGTTATGCACCCATTCCTGTGGAAGGGCTCCAGCCAGACGTGGGTCAAGGCAGGTGTCTGTGTGGGCATCTGGCTGGTGGTGGGGCTGGGCATGAGCCCTCTGCTTTTGTGCCCCCAGACAAGTCATATCTCAAGCCTGAACATCACAACGTGCCACGATGTCCTAGGAAAGGATAAGCACACATTCCTCATCTACTATTTCCTCTGCCTGGTGGGGCTAGGCTTTGTCTTGCCCTTCGTGCTCATGATCATCTCCTACAGCTGCATCCTAGTGCGGCTGCTGGCCAAGGGGAGACGCTATGGGCAAGTGGTGCATGTCCTGGCTGTGGTCCTCCTGGTCTTTATCCTCTGCTTCACCCCCAGCAACGTACTGCTCTTCATCCACTATACGCTGGAGGCCAAGGGGTGCCACAACGTCACCTATATCTGGTACACTGTGGCCCTGGTGCTCAGCGCCTTCAACAACTGCCTAGATCCCTTCGTCTACTTCTATGTCTCCCGGGATTTCCGGAGCTGGGTGCGGGATGCAGGCAGCTGCTGCCTGAGGGGGCTTGACACCTCCTCGGGGAGGGCCTCGGAGAAGGCAGCCTTGCCCCTGCGGTCCAATGAGCAGAGCCAGCTGTAGGCAGGGCTTGGGGTGCTGTACTGTGTCCCCCTGCCCCAGGGGGGACATCCTGCAGTGCGGTGCCACCACAAAGGGCTGCGCCATCCCAGGCTGGCATCAGCCCTGGGCAGAAGATCCCACCCTGCATCTGAGCTTCAATAGGACTTCACCCTAGTTTTGTAGTTCCTTCGACACCGCCAGTGCTACCCCCGTCCCATGGGCCACCCCAGCTGGGTGCCTAGCCCTGGCGCCCTTATTTCCCCATGTAATGGACCCTAACCTCCCTCACAACTCCTGCAGTGACCAAACCCTCCAGAGTACAAATAAACCTTTATTTCTCCCTGCTGCTGGAAGGAAGAGGCATAAATACCCTGGCTGAGCAGGAGCTGTCCTCCATCGCTCTGACTATGCACCAGGCACACATGGCCAGCCCTGCTCCCATTAACCACCTTTCTCCCCCCACAAATATGCTAGATGCAAGAAAGGAACTGGGGGATGACTTGGGTGTCCTGACCCTGCTCCATGGGCCCAGTGCTGGAGAGGGGACATCATGCTGTGCTCCCCCATGCTGGCAGGCACTGTATGCCCCATGCCTGACACTGTGGATGCTGCTGAAGCATGCAGGCACGACATTTCTGCTTTCATTTTCCCTTTTACTTGTTCCCATGGTGCTTGGCCCAGTGACAGATGTGCCACCCAGGAGCGAAAGCACATGTGGCAGCATCCCCAGCCCTCCCAAGAGGGGGTACCACAGCTCAGCATCCTGGTCCCCACTAGTCCTCTGGTTCCCACTAGTTCCTGAGTCCCCACTGGTCCCCACTCCCAGCCAGCTCCAGGGTCAGGAGGAGGAGGAGGGTGTGTGATCCATGCTCTAGAAGTGTGGGGTACCCATCGTTGCTGCTGCTGGTCACAACTTGACCCCCAGGTCGGTGGCCACCCCTTTGGCACAGCAGGTCACGTCACCGGCTGGCCCGGCCCTGGTGTCTGGCCCTCATTCTTCCTGAGGATGACGCTGCTGAGCTCCTGGATGAGTTTGTCATTGATGGGTGGAGGCTGAATGCTCCTCCGCCTGGCCATCTCCACAGTGATCTCCGCACTGGGACTGCTCCCTGGTGTGGCTGCCTGCTCCCAGTCCCTACCCAGTGCCAGGGAAGGCTCCATGTTCCTCTCCAGAGAGGCTGTTTTGGTGGGTCTGAGCCCCTGGGCTAGAGCTTTGTCGCTCTCCAGGTTCAAGCCCCTCTCGAGGGACAGGGCTTTGGTGACAGAGGGACCTGTCAGCCTCTGGACCGGGCTGGCGGGCAGCGAGGAGCGCAGTGCTGTGGCTGGGGGCTGCTCAGGGAATGGGGATGGCTTCTTGGACCTGTCCATGGGGGGCGCAGCCGACAGATCTGCCAGCAGCCCCTGACCCAGCTCCAGCGTGGCCAGCTCAGGGAAGTTGCCCACCTCCTCATAGACAGGATCAGCATCTGCCTCCTTCTCCTGCTGCTCCTCCAGGGAGTCTTGGTGGATCTTCATGGGCTGTGGGAGGGCAGGACGTCAGGGTGAGGGGCACTGTCCACAGCACTCAGCAGTATACCCCTCCATCCCCCCTCACCTTGCCCTCGCTGCGATCCCTGCCATGGACCCATTATCCATCAGGTCTCTTGGCTCAGGCACTGTTGCCCTTTCTTCCCCATTGCTGATGGAGGGTGAGTGTTATGAGCCTGACGAGGCATGGTCCATGCCACCAGGCTGTAGCATCAGCCCTGCATCCCTTTGCAGAGGTGGTCTGGGGTGGGAAGGGAAGATGGGTGCCTATGCAGAGCACAGAGCAAGGCTAGGTGAGGTTCCGCCAGGTGGTCTCCATGCGAATAACCTGATGGTGAGGAGGACCTAAACCTATTTCCTCACATATGTTGATCCTTTCTGGGCAACGGAAGAGGCTGTGGGAGCTGGGCTGGACTGTTGAGGTCTTGCTTGCACACACCGGGACCATGCAGGGACCCCCATCCCTGGGTATGGGACACCCAGAGCAATGGGCACCCCCTCCTCTGCCACACAGTATGGGCAGGATGGCCTGGGCATGTCTCAAGTGTAGGTGACATCCCATTGCCAGCAAAGTGCAAAGCCAGCAACAAATGCACTCGGTGTGTGTTGGTACTTACAAAGAACATGGACAAAGTCCTTCGCGTGTGCAGGCGGCGCTGGAAACAGAAGAGGTGGGCAGAGGTGAGAACGAGATAGCAGGTGCAGGGTTGTGGGTGCCTGGGCAGGCAGCAGGGAGCTGCCATGGACACGAGCCCAGCACTAAGCACAGGGACACCCACTCAAAGCACCCATTAGGGACGGGCCATGCACCCGCCTCTGGAGCCCTGGGGTGGGCGCATGGAGCTGGGTGGGTGCAGAAGTGTGGGGTAGCTGTGGGGCTTTACCAGAGTCTGGTTGGCAGAGAGCATGGTGGCATCGGTGCTGTCCCCGTGCAGCGGCACCAGCGGCATGGTGCCAAACTTCTGCTTGGCGAGGTCGGAGGAGGAGCGCCGGCGCAGAACCACGGGGCGCAGGTCATCGTGCTATGCACAAGGACAGGGAGTGGGGTCATGCTGGGCTGCCCTGCCTGCCCCCTTGAACCCCACCACAGCCAGCCTGCACCCACCTGAGCCTTGAGGATACTGGTGGTCCAGTCCCACAGCTCAGCCTGCCCCGAGCACACCAGGTACCTGCAGAGGAGCCAGCGGAGAAGCTGCCAAGGAGCAGGGCCAGTGGGGCCCATGTCCCCTTGTCACCCCGCCTGCGAACTCGGGGCTGTCAGGCACAACTACACCTCTGAAACTGTGCCCAAATCATGCTTCAGAGCAAAGCAAGAGCTCACTGGGCACTCATGAGGCACCCCAGCTCAGCTGCCCTTGGGAACATCTCAGCCCCATGTCCCTGCCCCAGCATCAGCAGTCTCAGAGGAATGGGGAAGGGACCAGCAGGATGCAGGGATGTGCCTGGGCACCTGGTGGTGCTAGGGAAGCTGGGGCAGGGAGCCCAGCTTAGTGCAAGGCACAGAAGCACTTGTTGTTGGGTGATGGGGACACAGAGCTGGGTGAAGGCTGGCAGGCATCACAGCCATGCAGGTGACATGTAGACCTGAGCAGAGTGGGCAGATTCCTCTGGAGCCTGCTGTGGGTGCCTGGAGATGCATCTCCCAGGGGTGCTGGTGTGGATGGGGACATAGGAGGGGTGTGTGGTGCGGACATTGCCCCTAGAGCCTGGCCCCCACCTTCTAGCAGCACGCATGTGGCCCCACCACTCTGTCATTTGAGTGCCTCAGCCAGGCATCAGCTCTGCCCTGACCCCAGGGCCCCTGGCTGTCCCACTGCCACTGAAGCTGGGGACCGATCCCAACACCCCCAGCCCCAGGGTGGCAGGGACAGATACTTACAGCTGCTGCTTGTCCAAGGTCAGTGTGAAACCCCACCTGGTCAAAGGAAGAGACAGGCTGTGAGGGGGCACTGCCGAGCTCAGACATAGCCCAGGGTCTGTGGGCAGCAGTGGTGTGCTGAGCTTGCGCCAAGCTTGTCATGGGTTTGGGTCCCACTGGGGCTTGATATGCTCCCAGTCCCTGGGTTTGTGTGTGGGTGCCCAAGGGACTGAGGGGTGCATGCCCCAGGGAAGGTCCCACTTACTGGGCTGGTGGCTTCAGCTTCTTCCTAATGCCCATGTAAACCTTGGCTGCATCCAGGGGCCACTCACGCTCCGGTTTGGCACTCTGGGGAAGGAGATCCACCGGGTCAGCCCAGCTTGATGCCAACTGCCCTGCCAGGAGGACAGCCACGACCATGCCACTGCTGTTCCCATGTTCTCTCCTCCCTCAGCATCCCCTGGGTACCCTCTTCTCCTTGAGCAGCAGCAGTCTCCGGTCCCGGATGACGAAGTAGCGCTCCTGAAACTTGTTCCCCAGCAGCTTGGGAGGCTCCTCACGGCACTTCAGCAGCCCACACTTGGGAATCTCACGCTTGACGCCTGCTCATTTTGGGAACACAGGGGTTATGGTCCCACTGTGGGTCTCAGGGATGTGCCCCTGGAGGCCAGGGCAAGGGGAAGCTCAGGCAGAGCTGTCCCCCCTGGTGGCACTGGGGTCTCTTTGTGGCTACCTGTGAAGAGACAGCTGCCCTCGCCGACGGGGACCTTCTTCACCAGCAGGTATGCGGCGCTGGGCTCCGGGAGCTTGCACCACTGCAAAGCTTGCTCCAGCACCTTCTCCTTGGGGTGCAGGGGCCGCTCTGGGGAGGCACAGACACTGTGTCCCCTATCCCTGTCACCAGCAGCAAGCTGCCACCCTTACCCCACACCTCCTCTTCACCATGCTGAAAGCATCCCCCCGTGCCATCCCCACCACACTCACCCAGCTCCCCGTTCTCCAGGGCCTCGAAGGTCAGCCAGATGTCCAGGCTGGCTGCCACACTGCGCATCTCCAGCACATGGTTGGTGAGCTCCTCTGCTGTCATCGTGGGGGACACCTGGGGCAGGACACATGGGGCAGGATGGGTCCCAGGGACAGGCTGTGCCAGAGCCTGCATCCCTCCGTGCCTCCCCCAGCACAGCCCTCCTTTGGGACTCACCTTCAGGGTCACGCAGCAGTCGGGCAGCTTCTGCTCCAAGTAAACCTCAATGATGAGATCCCCTGCCTGTGAGAGCTGGGGGAAGCGCGGGTTGAATTGGTGTTGTGCTGGCATGGGCGCTGTGCATAGCCCCTCTCCATGGGACTGGTGATGATGACCCAGGGAGCTGGGGGTGCTTATCCCCTGGGCAGGAGACTCAAGGTGATAGGTGAAGGGGCACAAGTCGGGGAAAGTCCTTCCCCATATATCTGGTGTGGGACAGTGGGAACCTGGGAGTCTCACCAGCCCAGGGGTCCCTGATGTGATGGGTGCTGGCAAGCACATCCCCAGTACCTGGGTGTCCTTCCAGGTGGTGATCAGACTGTTCTCCAGATCCATCTGGGATACCTGGTCCTCATCAATCTGCCAGAGGAAGGGTGCACAGGGTGAGAAGGGAGACACATGGAGTCAATGTGGAGTGGGATATGGCTTGAGGACACATGGCCAGGATGGAGTGATGTAGGGGTAAGCAGCATTGGGCAATATGGGGTGCCACAGGGGGAGACAGACAGAGTCATCATGAAAAGGCCCCTGCAGGGAGCTTACATTGAAGATGCTGACATAGTTGTCGATGAGGTCTTCCATCACCTTGACCTCATGCTCCCCTTTGCCATCGGTCTGGAAGAGGCTGGGTGCGAAGAGAAGTGACAGGTTCTTGGTGCTCATCTGGTTGAGGTCCGCACATTTCTGCACCCTGGGACAAGGAGGACAAGGTGAGGGGCTGGTCCCGTGCTGGATGGGATCTCAGCCCCAGCCATCCTCCTCCACCTCATACAGACTCTCCTGAAAAACAACTGTGGAATTTGGTATTTTTCCCTCTTTTTTTGGGCACTGGGTGAAGTTTATGTCCTACAGGGGTGTGTCCTTTACTCCCAAACCTCCTATCACTCCCCCTTGCTGCAGGATGACTTTGGGAGCATTTGAGGTCTCCCAGAGTATCATGCTCCAGCACATCCCAGTAGCTGTGAGGCTGATGGAGCAGGCCATGGGCACCAGGCTCTTCCTGTCTCCCTGGGATGGGAGCCAGCATTCACTGGGCAGCGGGGAGACCCCGTACTGCTGGCTGGCCTTGGGTACCCTGGCTGGACCAGGGGACCCTGCAGGGAGGTGGCCCACTGACCGATAGAGGTGCCCGATGAGCGCAGCCAGGGTCTTGTGGTTGAGGCGAGGCAGGCGATGAATGAGCTCCTTGTACCGCTCCAGGCGCTGGGGCTTCGAGGATATTTCTGGAGTGAGGCAAACAGGTCATGGCTTAATGGTGAATGCAGGGGATCCAGAGCTGACATGGCATCAGGACCCTGCCCTAAGGGACATTGGCCCAGCGGTCCTTGGCAGGCAGCCCAGTGTGGTAGAAGGATGTACCTGCAGCTTCCTTCCACTGCGGGTGCAGCTCCAGGGTGAAGACGGGATCTTCCAGCTCTCGGAAGAACCTCTTCAGCACGTCCGTGACATCCTCGATGAAGTTATCATTGATGCGCAGCTTGACGTTGCGGGCGTCCCGCCGGAACTCCTCCATCAGTACCTTGATCCGGGACTTGGCTCCGTTCTTGCGGTAAATCCCCTCATGCCGCAGCCCTGGGACAGGGACATGGGGTCATGGGGGACTGATCCTGCCCAGAGAATTCCTGATGGGGCTGCCTGGCCCTTTTGGTCACCCCATGTGTATTGGAGGATGCTGTGGCCGTGGTTCCCCCGCTGGGCTCACCGTACTGCGTGATGAAGGCGATGCAGCTGTCCACGATGATGGGGATGTCTGCCCGGCTCAGCTGCTGGTCCCGCAGCGCGTTACCCCGGCCTCCCGCTGATGCCTGGATGTCGCTGTACCACGCTGCCGAGTCCGCCCGTGACAAGCCCTGCAGGTAAAACGTCCTGAGAACAACAAGGGCAGAAAAGAGGGAATGAAAGTTGCTAGGGGTGGCAGGTTATCCCCTCCTGCCCGTATGCGCAGGGAGGAAGGCACAGCCAGGCTGAGCCAGGGTACACCCTACCCCAGTGAGACCGCCGGCTGCGGAGCCCTCTGTAAGCCCCTTGGCCACAGCCCTGCTGTCCCAGTAGCATCCCCACCATGGGTTTGGGATTAGCATCATCCCATGAATGAGTGCCTTTGTCCTGGGCAGCCTGCTGAGGTTGCTTGGCTCATTCTCTGTCATTCCCACAGCCATGCCTCACCTCCCCATCTCCACCAGGATCAGCAGCTCCTTCTTTTCTGGGTTCTCGGTGGGGGGAACCAGACCTGCATTGGGGTAAGAAGTAGAGGGGTCAGAGCCATGCATGGGAACCCACCACATGGTGCCTTGTCCCGGGCTGCAGCACTGGCACTCACTGAGCTCCTGCAGCCGCCGCAGGTTGATGCTGTCCTCAGCCCCATCATCCTCGGCGGGGCAGATGAAGAGGTGGGCTTTCTGCAGGATGAAGAAGGCCCGCTGCCACCACTCGGGGTTGAGCATGCACTTGTAGCGCAGCTGGCCCACGCGCTGGAACTCGTAGCCCAGCAGGCAGTGACAGCTTACGGGTGTGAACCACTACAGGAAGGAGCAAGAGGTGAGCTGGGTAAAGGCAGGGCTCAGCCCCCGAGCGCACACCCCCATGAGGATGGGGGCAGGTTGCTGGGGAGGAGGGCAGCCCCTGCAAAGGGGAGGATGGTGTGTAGCACAGAGGATGAAGAGAGTGGGAAGCACAATGGGGAAGCAGGGACAGAGCACAGGGACCCACCAGTGGCACTGGGCTTGCTCACCTTGCCGATGGCCCTGGCCCATGCTTGCAGCGTCTCAGGCCCATCGGCTCCCAACTGCTGCACTTTCTCCCCAGTGAGGAAGAGCTCAAGGGTGAAGCGAAACCTGCAGAGGATGAAGCAACCCATCAGGGCAGCCCCTTACCCTGAACCTGCACCCAAAGCCAGAACAGACCATCGCAAGGAGCAGAAGCAATGCCCATCCATGGGCATGCAACGGGGGCACAGCTGGGGGTACCTTTCAGTGGGGCCAGGGCTGGCAAGTGCCTGAGCTCTGCTCACACCCATGGAGAGGAGGTCCCCGCTCTCGATGTGGCCCAGGGGCTCAGTGCATTTCTCTGTCTCAAAGAAGAGCAGGGCTCTCTCCAGGGAGCACCACATGCGCTGGAAGTCTGCAGGACCAGGGAGTCAGTGGCACCGGGGTGCGCACCCCCGGCTGCCCTCCTGTGCTCCCCACACTTACCCTCTTTGCTCTTCTTGGTGCCTGGGAGCTTGTGGGGGGCTGTGGCCCGGTACAGGTACCCACTGTGTGTCACCGGCTGCGTGATCTCATTGTAGACACCCTCTGGACCCAGTTCCTGTGTGCGGGGGGTCCCTGTGGGGAATGGTGCTGATAGCAGGATGGGAGCAGGCACCCATGAAGGCATGGGTACTGGAGGGGCAGGGAGACCCCACTCATGCAGGTGTAGGTAACGGGGTGTGCCAGCCATGGGATTCCCTGGAAAGAGGCTCCAGAAGAACCCACTGCCTTGCCCCATCCCAAAGGAGGGGTGCAGTGGGACAGGTGGGTCCCCCACAGCAGCTGATATCCTGGCTGTCCCCAGCCTTGGGGTGTACTTTGGGGAGCAGCAGAAAGGAGGAAGACCCCACATCACAGGCAGATGGGGCTTGAGGGTCCTCATACCTGAATGGTTCCTGGGCCTTTTCCTCTCTGGTCCCCCTGGTGCCACCTCACCGGCAGCAAGGTCAGCTGCCAGCCCAGCCTCCGTGGATGAGAAGAACTGCAGGATGGTCTTGAGCAAAGCTGGTCCTGTCACCGCAGCACACAGTGCCTGGGATGGGACAAGTGCCTGTAGGGACCATGTCCTGGCACACAGAACCCCCCAGCCTGCTGCCAGGGGTGCTTGAAGGCAGGCAAAGAGGGCCACAAAGTGGGGCACGACCTCCTACCTGAGCCCCCAGAACTGCCTGGCACAAGGGTGCAAGCACACAGAGCCAAGCAGGAGGTGTTGGCATCTCAGCCCAAGAGCTCTGGGATGGTTCCCAGCACCCCAGCATCCTGCCTGCATCCCAAGGTTCCCTGCTCCTACCTGGAGCACGTCCTCCTGAGTGGCGTAGTGGGGATGGGGCAGGCGGTACCGTCCCTCTCGGTACTTGCGGGAGATGAAGTCCCGTCTCTGCTCGGCGCTGGCGTCTGGGCACAGGGCCTCTGCGGCGGGGAGGCGAGCGGCCCAGAACCGGTTGGCTCGGTCATTTCCCAGCATGATAAAGAGCTGTAGGAGAGTCCCATGGTCATGGCGAAGGTCAGGTGGGAGGAACAGCATCCCTGCATCCCAAGGGAGACTGGGGCTGCTGCCCTGCCTGGAGAAGCAGCCTGGCCCTTGAGTCTGCTGTGCCAACCTCGGTGCCCTGCCCTGAGTGCCTCTACCTGTACAATCTCATTGGACCACACGCTGGTGTCAAGCTTCAGGCTTTGCACTTTGGAGATGTTGGAGCCCAGGCTGCGGTGCTGCCCTGTGGGGAGCAGGAGAGTAAGCACCCTTTGGTCCTGCCAGGGGAAGTGGTACCCAAGTCGCACCCATGTCCCAGCCAGCACCCCTGACCCATACCCATGGCACCCCTATATGCCCCCCAGGGAACTGAACTGGCCTGCACACTGCTTGCAGATGACCACGCACAGGTTGATGGATGCCCAGTCGGGACTCAGAGCCCAGCAGTCCGCACAGTGTTTGTTGGCTTTGTTAGACCAGATCTTCTCTGCCACCTCATAGTCATAGAGCATTTCAGCTATGGCCTCCTGCAGGGCCTCCATCCACTCCCGCTTCTCCCGCTCCGACTCTGCCACAAAGCTGTGAGCACCAACACAGCCAAAACTCAGGGGTCTGGAGCAACCAGCACCCACATGCAGCATCAGGCTGCTCCCCCCACCTCACCCCATGGGATAACTGGGATACCTGAATATTTTGGAGGGGGTGATGAGCTCGAAGCTGCGGTTCTTGGCTTCGCGGATGGTGGAGCCACGCATCTCAATCACACAGATGCCAATGCCCATTTTAAAGAACTGCAATTCAGAGTGGCACTGGTATTGGCTCTGCAGCACTGTGGCTGTGGTGGACACACCACCCCAGACATGCCTGTGATGCTGGGCCTGGAGCCAGGTTGCTGCATCCAGTATCCCATCCCTGCTTTGCCTGGACAAGCCAGACCTGGTACCATGCTACATCTCTCAGCTATCTCATGAGGGCTGACATAAAGCATCCTGCAAATACATGATGGCTTAAACTGAAAGGCAAGTTCTGTGCACAGCATTTGAGTGCCTCAGTTTTGGGGTCAGACATACTCAAAAGGAAAGCATCAACTTGAGCAGAAACCACAGAGACTTGATGCTGCTCAATGCACGTCTGGAAAACTGAAAAGAGAGTGACTGAAAAAAACGAGGGGTGCTGAGAAAACTCAGCAGGCAGGAGGAGGAGAGTCCTGTGGGAAGCAAGTCACAGGAGATTGGGACAGGGGTCCATTCCTGGTACTTGCATCTCCAAGCCCAAGCTCCTACTACTGCTGCCCTGTGCAGGATCTTCAGCTTCCTGCTCTGCCATTCCCTTTCTCCTACGTGTCTTTTTCCTTTCTGCTCTCTCTTAGGCACCAGCCCTAGCTAAAATCCCTCCATCCCTCCATTGCTCTCATCCCATCCACCATTAGCACAGCCGTCTGTGTCCGGTCCAGCCACCAACCTGCTCACTCTTGTACAGCCACATCTCGGGCAGGCTCAGGGTTGCAAACACCTTGGACTTCTGTCCCTTCAGCTCCAGGATTCCTGACTTCTGGCAGTGGCCAGTGTTGGCGGGCCGGGGCCGGGACCCCACCAGACGCTGCTCTGTCACCTTCTTCTGCAGCGTGGAGCACCACTCATTCCTCTGGGCTGGGGACCAGGTATGAGGGAGCGGGACTGAGCCCTTCCCAACAGCCCTGGCATGGAGCAGAGCACCCAGTGGATGTGGCAGGGGACAGGTCCCCGTGCTCATCATGGCTGGATGGTTTGGGGATGGGGTGAGAGCTGCCCCTGGGATGCTCTGGCTGGAGGATGAAGGCAGGGACTGGTGGTCCCTGGCTGGGGTCTTTGCTTACCCTCATTCTCAGCACGGAAGACAAAGATCCGGTGGCTGGTGATGACTTGGAATTTGTTGTCTTTGGTGGAGCGAGCCATCTCTATCACAGACAGTGGGACCACCCCCTTGGGGTAGGGCTCCTGGAATGAGCCCCAGGCAGGGTTATCCCCCTTTGCCCTTCCTGTGGAACATGTCCATAACCCAGCCACCCAGCACCTTTGGTGCCTGTGGTGCCATAACCATAGGGGTAAGGAGGTGGGACAGGGATGCCTGCAAGCTCCTGCAGCTGTGGGCCATGTTTCTGCATGGGTGCCACTGACATGGGGCCAGAGCAGCAGTGTCTGTCTCCCCAGGCGACGTGGCAGCCACCAACACCCCACATCAGGCCTAAACGGGGCCATACACCCACGAAAGGATGAGAGGATGTGGGACAGGAAAAGGCTGTTGTTTCACCACATGCACCTAACCCACAGTGCAGCATCCACAGCAAGAAAAGCTGCTCTGTGCAGCACATCTCAACATCCCCCAGGTGCTTGGCTGGGTGCTGCCTCAAAGCACAGCCCAGGGCCACCAGGAGATGAGGATTCAGGTAGGGATGCGTCCATGGTGGGACCCAGAGATCCCCCATTTGCAGTCTGCCCCAGTGCTTGGGAGCCAGAAGGGCCCCCCTCACCTGCTCCCTATTGGCAGAGGGACCCTTGCTACTCTGGGCTTCCCATGGCACAAGGCTCTGTTCAGAGCCCCACCATGGCCGCTCTGCCCTGGTGATGGTGAAGGAGTGCTGGCTCCTTACAGAAGGACAAGGGGAGGCAAAGGGGATATGGCAGCTCACGTGCTGTCAAGGCACCCTGCTCTGGGTGCAGCCTCCCTGCCCTGCCCACATCCTGACCCTTCATACCTTCTCACTGCTGAAGTACATCAGGTTCTTCCCGTCGAAACGGACGTAGCGCCTCTGGAAGACATAGTTCCTGTTGGGATGGCAGAAAAACGGGCTGTTGGGAAGGGGATGATCCCCCCAGGGACACCTCATCTGCTCGCAAACCCCCCCTTCCCCTAAGAATGGCTGCATAAAGACCCTGGCAGTGGTACCCAAAAGGGTCCTCCTCCTGTGGGGATGTCTGGCACAGTGACCAGTGTGCTCATCTTACCAGCCTTGCCCAAGGGAGCTTTACCTATAGGGACTGTCCCATGGGTGGGCACGTACCCCTGTGGGGAGAGCTTGTCCAGCCATCCACTGAGCATGGTGGGCCGGGGCTCGGACAGCGACGTGAAGCTGGCGTAAGGGGAGATGGTGAGATCATCCAGGACCTCGTCTGGGTAGAGATGTGCAGGCAGGATGAACGGGCTGCCCTCGGCCCGCGGTGCCTCCACAGTGGAGTATCCCTCCGTGTCATTCTGGATGATGCGGTCAATGAGCCGGGACCGGGTCTCCTCATCCTCACTCCTTCCCTCACTGCTGCACTCGCTGCTTGTCCTGTGGGAAACAGGGCTGTGAGGGAGTTGGCCTGTGGCAGCTCAATGTCATCCCATCTGGGGCTGTCTCACACTGCTCCTGGCCCCAACCTGAGCTCCTGGGGGCACCCAGTGATGGGGGCGTTTGCGTCTCCATGAGCAGGGTGGGACAAGGGCTCAGTGTTCATGAGCCCCACTGCCACCAGCAGCCTGAGGCTCAGCCAGCCCTATGTGGTGGCAAGGCTGGGGCTAGCTGGCAAAATGGGCTTCCCCACTGCGGGTAACACTGCACAGGCCACCACACATCTCCAAACCCCTGGCATCACCTCCTTCCCCTCTTCACAGCAGCAAACCAAGCCCAGTCCCACCTCCTGCTCCCTGCTCTACAGCCAGCCCAGACACCTCCTCACCAGAGGTCTCTGCTTCCTTCTCTCTCTACCCCTCCAGTGTTCATGGCACTGGGAAGGTCCTTCTGCCACGACAACCTCCTGCCTGCTCTTGTATTTTGCAAAGGGATTGGGATGGAGAGATGGGCCTGTGGAGCTCCTGCAGCCATCTCCTGTTCTTGGGAAGCTCTGCTACCCCCCAGCCAGGCCTGGTGAGCCCATCCAGCCGTAACAATAAAAGGAAGTTATAAAAATAAGCTGCTAAGCCTGCCCCTTCCCCTCAGCCCTCTCAGCCAGACGTGTTTCTTTCCCTGGAAAGGAAATGTGCTGGAAAATGTCTGACAGTCCCAGAAGCAAACAGCCTAGCTGCCCAGGTGCAATGGTGATGGGCAGCAAGAGGGTCATGGAAGCTGGGACCCCCCAGTGCCAGAGCACCCGTGTCACTGGGTCACTCAGTGCCAGGATGAAGGAAAGGCTTCAAGAGAGGCAATGAGGATGGTCCAAGCCTTGTCACAGCTTCTGCCTGAGGAGCATCTGAGCAAGTGGTGCTCCACTTCTCCAGTGGAGAAAGGGTGAGTGATGGGGCAGGTTCCTGAAGCCATGAGCAGCATGAGGAGGGCAGAAAGGCTTCTCCCGCCCACTGCTGCTCCAGTCACAGGAGCGGGGTGACAGCAGATAAAGCCAGCAGGAGCAGGGTGCAGAATCACATGGGCAACCTGTGGGAATCCTCGCTATGGGATGTTGTTGAAGGAGAAACTTACGGAGGAGAAAGCCGGTGGGGGATACTCAATATGAGAAACTACTTCCAGCACCATCTCATGTGCTAGAAGTGCTTTTGGACCAGGAGAATGACCACAAACACCTCCCCTCATTGTAAATTCTCAGAACACCTTGTTTTGAGCACTGACTCGTCATAGGAACCAAGGCAGTACATGGACCTGTGCTTTGGCCCTGGACAGGTACCTTATGAGACCGTTGGACATCAGATGTCCCCAAACCATGTGGGACAGAAGCAAGATGTGCAGTTTGCCTGGGAGGATGTTGGGCTGGAGCCACCCAGGCTGGGGGTCAGCTCTGGGATAACGTGTGAGGCTGGAGAGGGAAAATGGTCTGTTTGGCTCCAGAAAGACAAGAAATGGCCATGGATGGCTTGGAGGCTCAGATCACAATGACCATTGCTGTTTAATTAGTGTAACAGAGCCTTGGCAGGGCGATAGATCTAGCTGCAGTCCCAGCCTCGTGTCTAGCTCTCTCAGGAGGGAATGGCCAGGGAGTGGGGTGGCTGGAGGACTCTGCACGTCACAGGTGGACATCAGCCTTGATCTCAGAGCCAAGTGGGAGGGAGATGCTCTGAATGGGTCAGGGCAAGAGAAAAAGAGGAAAACCCCGTGACAGCACCTTCCTGAGCCATGATTTATAGCCATTGAGGCCACGAAAAGCTGGAGGACAAGCAGCATCTGTCAGGGACAAGCAAAGCTCGTGGCCCTGCTGGAATGGGGTCTCTCAGCATCCCAGGAGCACATCAAGACCCAGGCCAGCTTTCATGCCTTTAGGACAGGGTTTTAAGAGGAAGACTCCAAACCTCCAATTAAGTCTGCTAAGGCCAAGTCACCTCCCTTTCAGCTGGTGGTGGGCAATGGAGACAACTAACCTTACGGCCAAATGAGTCCCCAGGTCAGCTGAGCCTGGAGGGTGATGCCTGAGGTGCACTGAGTTGGGGTAGTCTCAGCCTGTCAGTGCTTAAATGGGAGATCTGGGAGATGGAGGATGGGTGATGAAGGAAAGGGATCTGTGGGTGGTGAGGGGTCCAAGGAGCTGCTGATGGACCTAGTTACTTCAACGGAGGGTCATGGGCCAGACAATCAACCTGGAGGTAGATAGGGAGATCAGGAATAAGCTGTCAAGGATACACCATTCCCAGTGTTTCTTTTCCACAGGGAAGGTGCCTTGAGGTGTGGGAGAAGCAGTCTGGGTAGGTATCTGCCTGAGGATCGTCTCATCATGAGTCCTGATGCAAACCAGGGCAGAGTCCTCTATTCCTCACCATGATGTCTGATGAGCTGCTGTCTGACCCAGTGCCCTGAGCTCCATACGGGGTGATGCAGGCACTGCTGTGCCAAACATCTCCCTCCTGCTGAGAAGCAGGTGCTGTCCTCCACAACGGCATTTTGTGGGACTGAACATCATCAGCTGGGATGAAGGTGCTCAGTGTCAGAGTGGATGAATCCCACCCTATGCTCCAGGCTGGCTCAGAGACCCAGCTCCCAATTTTAGGGGGAATTTTGCATTCCTCTCCCTCTTTACTTAGGATATCTCATTGCTGGCCAAGGCAGCTCTGCCTGTCTCTAACACTGACCCACAATGCCCAGACCCCAAGCCAGAGAGAAGTGTGGTCCAGATGGAACTCTCCCAGAAGAGGGTGAGAGGAGGTGTCTCACGTAGGATATAGATAGCCCATAGCTCCAGGAGGATCATGGTTGGACTGGTGGGGCTGGTCGGGAGAGGAAAGCATTGGAGCAGCGCACCAAAAGGGTTCATGAGCACAATGCAAAAGGCCTTCAAAGGCTTTTCTGTCTCTTGCTCAACTCCCCACACTCCAACCACCTTAGTGCTCAGGCTGTGAGAAAGAAACCTGTCAACTGCTGCCTCTGACATTGCTAATGATCACATCCTGTCTCTTCTCAGCAAGACCCTGGCTGAAAGCACCCAGCTGCTGACCTCGGGATGCTCTGCATCCCAGCTCCCTGGAAGCTGACGGGTGGAAACTGACCCATGGGCCAGCTCCCAGCCCTGCTCTGAACTACTGGTTCAGTATCTCCACAGCAGATGTCAGTATTTTTGTTTCCAAAGCTCCTATTCACAGGTATTTGAAGTTCCCCATCCATGGCCCGTGTTGGGACTGTGACACTGGATCAGGCCATACTCGCTCCCAGAGCTGGACTGACCAACACTGGGGCCAGAAAGGCAGGGGCATGGGGATGCACTGGCAAGCAAAGCCACGGGCAGAGCCGAAGGACACAGAGCTGCAGCTCGCCACCTCCTCTCTGAGCAACACAGGAAAAGGAACCCTCCCCATCCGAAATGGGAAGAGCAACTTTCCTTCCTCTTTCTGAGATGGTATCAGGAGTTATGGAAAGGACATTTGAAAAGCATTTGAAGATGCCCCTCATAATCTCACTGTCCACCACAGTGTGTGACAGATCGGCAAATGCTGATCAGATGATGCTGGAGCCTTTGAAGGTCACACATTCCTTTATCTGGACCTTAAAGCCATCCCATTTCTGACTGATTCCTGTCCTCTCTGGTGTTTTCCTGCTCCCAGCAGCCAAATCCAGGCTCTGCGTGGTACATAAGTGCCCAGTGCCACTGGCATGGCCCCAGTTATGCACCCAAAGCATCTGTTCACAAGCACTGTCCCCTTGAGGGCCACCCACCAGCACAACCCCTTCTCATCTCTGAGCCCATCGGCTCTTCTTGAGACTGCTGACCTGATCCCAGACACTCCTGATAGGCTCCACAGTGGGGAAAAAGCCCCTATGGCCTCTCAGGCTGTCCCCAGGGGTGTTCCTGTCCCCTTGGCATGCAAATCCCAGCCCCTGAGCCCAGAGGAGGTGATTCCTACCTGCACACTTCTCGTTCCAGCTCCAGCTCAGACACTGTCTCGTAGCTCTGATCAGAGGAGATGCCAACACCCTGAGAGGAGAGATTGGTCACATCTCTCCCCTCTGCCTTCTCCCACCCCAGACCTCCTCAACCTGCCTGTCCCACTGCAAGGGGGCTCAGTCTGTGACCCCCACCCCATCAGTGATGCTCAGCACTGCCAGGCGCCTCAGTCTCACCAGCAGCAGCTGGTGGGATGCAGAGTAACATCCAAGGACACCCACCATCCCCACCGTGTCCTCTTACCTTCTGCTCCCGCGATGGGGCTGTGTGCCCAAAGATGGTCTCACTGTAGGGGCTGACAAGCTGCTCACTGACCTCTGTGGGCAGAGACATGGGAGGGAAAGCAGTCAGCAGTGCCTGCTGCAGGCAGCAACCAGCCAGGACTGACAGCCCTGGAGGGGACTCCGTCACCGAGCCCTCCACAGTGAACCCCACCATCCAGAGCATCTGGATAACAGAGATGCCAGCCAAATGTGTCCCTGAGTGAGACAGGGGCACAAGACAGGACCTGGGGACAAGGCAGAGGTGTCCCCCTAACTGCCCCTTCACTGGGGACGCTGGGAGGTCCCTGCTGTGCACCCTGGGTGCTCTCACCTGATGTGCTGGTGGGTCTCTGTGGCACGGGGGGCAAGCCAGGACTGCTGAAAAACAGGAGAGGCATTATTGTGGCTGCAGCCAGGATGGGGTGGGATTTTTCCACCTTGTTTTCCCATCTAGCTTCCTCTGCTTCTGACCAGGGCTGAGCCCAGCTTCATCCCCAGGATGTGCAATATCCCCTCCCTGCTCCCTGCACCCTCCTTTGCTCCCTTCTCCTCTCAGCCCCATGCTGTGTCTCCTGGGGCTGCCAGGCATTTCCCATCCCAGCTCACCCCCTTCTAACATATCCAACTTGCAGGAGCCAGACCCAGACCCTCACTCAGCCACCCGTCACCATGAAAGGGACCCCCAGCCTTGCTGCTTTGGAGGGCAGCAGAGGGGCAGCAGCTTCTCCCCCCAACCAGAGGAGCCACCCAGGGGCCCAGGGCCACCCTGTCATCTCAGAGGGATCCCAGCTGCCCTGTGGGCTGGCTCCATGCAGAGCCTGGGGAAGGCATGGGAAGGGTGGTGAAAGGGGCTTGTCAGCACCCAGAGACAGGCAGGGCCAGGCTGGGAATGCGGTCCTGGGGATGGAGGGGCTCTCTGGATCCTTGGGTCTGGCTGCTCTGCACCCCCCCTCCACTCCGTGTGGGGAGGGAAAGTATCTGCTTACTCAGGCTTGTCTGGCTGTGTCATCTCCTGCGGGGACAGAACCTGACCCTGGAGACCATCCTCCCCTCCTGAGTCCTCAGTGGGTGCTGACGAGTGCTTGAGTCCTTCATAGATGACGTTGGACACCATCTCCATCCTGCCCTTTGCTGAGGTGGGCTGCGGGGCTGGCCTGGGGCACGGCGAGGGGTCTCTCCTGGCTGGGATGGATGTGGGGTGACCCTCTGGCCCACTCCCAGGGCCGGGCTCTGCTGCCAGGACCCTGTGGCTGTGCCGTGGTGGGACAGACGGGACGGACAGGGGGGACTTCTCTGATGCCTCCAGGGTTTGTCCACGATCCAGAGCTGGCGGGGATCGTGTCTCCTCCCGAGCGCTATCCCGCACCCGCAGCCGGGAAAATCCCATGCCCATGGCCACGGCTGCCCCTAGAGCTGGCCGGGGCTCCGGGCTTTCCAGATCTGTGGAGCTCTCCCCTGGCACAAACCCCTCCAGTACCACAAAGGCTGCAGTTGCCCTGTCTCTGCCTGGGCCGTGTGCCGGCACCGTGGTGCGTGCCGGCGGCTCAGGCGCTGAGCCCTGCTCTGGCTTGGAGCGAGGGAAAACCGTCCTCGGCTTAGGAACAGGCTTCACGAGGGGAGGAGCAGAGTCCTTCTCTAGAGGCAATGCCTGGGCGGGAGCAGCAACACACTGCTGCGTCCCCAGGGCATCAGTAGCCCCTCCTGGCTCTGCTTTCATGGCATCCTTGCCCACCTGTGGGGCATCCAGCACCTCGGTGGCTTGGAAATGGGCGTCTTCCGCTGCAGGTCCTCTCCAGGACTGACTGAGCACCCGTGTCTGCTGCACCAAGTTCAGGATCCTTTTGCGGTGCCCAGTGGCGGTGATGCCGAGCTGCTGCAGGTGGTCACCGTCCAGCGAGGTGGTGTCTTTGGCCACATGGTACCCATGCTGCTTGAAG